GTACTTTCCCACAGGGCTGGATATGTTTAATGTGTAGTTGTAATGGTGTAGGGTACATTACTGCAATATGCAAATGCAAATATTTATATTCTGCAATAACTGGTTTTTATTTGCTGAAGCTTAGTTTTATAGCAAATATTAACACTTCTTTGGGCTAAAAAACATAAAAATCATAATTATATAGCATAAATACAGATGTGATATATGTGCGATGTACAAGCCAACTAAATCACAGTTAACAGCAGCTCTGTAACTTCAGGAAGAATTAAAACTTTGCACACATGCTAAACACTGGTTTTCAAGCTGAACACCATGGTTTTCAACCAAACTTGTGAAAGAACCTGTCTGCCTAGAGACAGCAGATTTCTGTTCTTTCTGATTTCCTGCAAAGGAAAAATCTATCAGAACTTAACAAAATCAAAAATTACATTTAATATATATTATCACACAGTGCTGATTAATAGGTTTTTTAACTGCAAATACATTAATAAAAGCATCAACTACATTGTCATAGTGCAGAATATGTTAATCTCAAATAATACAGCACTTCTGCTAACATATGACAGTGCAGCTTATAAACATATAAATTGTACAGCAGACCAGATGCTATTCTTACAGTAGATGACCCAAGGTCCCATCCCACCCATGAAACAGACCCAGAACAATTACACTGCAGCTCTGGGTGTTATCAGATCTTTGAAGGAGCATCTGGTTCAACTAATGTTTTCTCTAGTCATTAACAAAGAAACAAGCCACAGTAATTCACAGCACAGCAAGCTGCCTCAGCAACAAAAAAAAAAGACCACCAACTTTGTATGGTACATTTTTATATATGCTCTATTTCTTATAATCCCTACAATTACAATACCTTCTGTAAGAAGACAGCAGATCCCTATGGAAAGTTATACTAAGTAGCCCAGAACCACTTAGTAGATTACAGTTTAAGTGTTTTGTTGGTTTTTTTTTTTTTTTTTCCCTGAATGGAAAACCTCTTTCATAATCAATTCCAGATGAAAAATAATTGTAAAGTGTTTCATTTATTACATGCACACACATGTGCACGTCCACTATGAAGTACTATAAAGTTGCTTGGTCCTGATAACCCTTATCTCATTGTTCCCAGATGGAAAGCGTGTTGTTTTGGTTTTTTTTAATAGCCAATTCAATAAGCTGTTGAAAAATGCTTTGTATAATATAGCATTGCCATAGATCTGATGTTTGTCTCTGTCATTACATTCTGCATTCAATCAATTTACAAATGTTGCTGTGTTCCTGTTGTGCTAGTTTTCCTTACGGCATCCTGAACAGAAATCCAAAGATCAATATCTTGTCTGCTGAAAAAATGTGGGACATAACAAATGAATAATTTTATTTGCAATAAAAGTCCTAGCCCCAAAGTGGATTCTGCTAATGCTCAAAATCATTTCTCATGTTTAACACAAAATGGAAGCAAGTATCTGCACAACTCAGTAAGAAAGTGATAAAAAAAACACAGCTCACTTATACTGAAAGCGAAACCATGTAACCATGGTGTTTGGCTAGGAAAGGATCTACAGAATAGTAAGCCACTCACAAAGTATTTGTAGCCACACAAAGTTCGTGGCAAAGAACAGATGGATTTTCTTAAAGAAGGTTCTGAAGTTGTGCTCTGAACCATGGAAGCAGCAGTGCTATGAATGAAATGAACTGAGAAGGCGGGGAGAAATAGTTCCTGCCAGCTGCATGACCTGATCCACTTCTTGACTTGTGCATTCTAAGTGAAGGAAGGACTGAATCTGCTGACGACAGACACATCCCCTGCACTGTTCCAGCTACTGAAAGCTATCTTCTCTAATACATCTAAAAGCTGTTCAAGACAGCCACAGATGGCTTTTCACAATCCATTTTCATAGAGCATTTCCTTCAAAAATGGTATTGATATCTGTGTAAGCTTGGTGGGTATATACAACAGGCAACTGCCAAACTGCTGAGGTATGTGCTGCATGTAGTATTCCCAGCTAAACTCCTGGCTCCATAAGAATCCACAGGGGCTGCTGAAACAGTGTCACAGCACTTTTGTACAGAATAGGGAAAAAAATGCACCCTGAAACAAAAGCTCATTCAGCAAGACAGGCCCCAGAACAATGTGCCTGGCTGCTCTGAAATAAGACAGACAAGAAAAGGGAAGAGCCATCTTTCACTTTGAAATATAGGAGTGAACAAAGCATGTATGTATTCCCCGTGTCATTGTGAGACTTAACTGATTTGTGGAGACTGAGAATAAGCACCTCTTGAGCCTTAAATGTGTTTCCATTGGGTGACAGCAATGGGACTGGACATTCAAAGGGGAGTAGACACTAACCCTGCATGCTGGGTTATGTGCAGCTTTCCCTATCAGGTTATGCCACAAGAGTTGAATGATTTTGCTACAAGTCTCAATTGCATGAACAGACTTCAGCTTGGACAGCAGAGATTGCAGTTTAATGTCAGACCCTCTACTCAATATTAAGGTACCAGTTACTTCCTAATCAACAATCTGCAATGATCAGTACACGACAAAGAGGTTTGTACACCCATGAACTACTGTGCAGCCATTAGAAAGAAGCCTAATCCTGAATCAGATAAGGCATCTCTCTCAAGGTACCTTTCCTTTTTTTTTTTCTCTTTCCTTACCAGGAATGATAACTCCTGGTTACTATTAGCACAGTCTGATTTTCAAATGTCAAGATGAATTCACACGATTGACAGCTAGAAAGAAACAAAACGTTTAATTTGTTAACTGGGCAAGTATGCTTTGGCACTGCTCAAATCACAAAACCCAGAACTCCACAAGACCATTTTTCTGAAATTTCTCAGAATACAACAACTGTATTTTGAAACTATTACAGCAAATACACTACTCCAATCCTACGTTCTGTTTCAAGAGGGAATTTCAACCTTACAAGTTAATTAAAGCCACCACCTGGAGTGAGCTGGCTTCAAACTGATTTCCTTTGTCTCTCTAATGCACATGCATTAATATTTTATTTTCTACTGAAAAAAAAAAAGAAAGAAAGAAAGAAAGAAAAAGAAAGAAAGGAATGTCACAAGTATGCCAAAGACAAGGCAGATAAAATTATTGCAATAAAACAAAGAAGATACACTTGTTACTGCCAGGTCTTGAGACAAATGCTGCATTACACAGACATTTTATAAGCTTTCAACTGCAAATTGCTCTATTTTACATACTATATTCCAGCCTTTGCATCAAGATCTTTTCTATGTATTTTTTTTCCCGTAATGAGGAAGAAAGTGTCAGGGCTTTATTACCTGAACATTTATTCAACAGAGCAACAAAGACTATATTATATATTACAATGCACAAGCTATTAAAACAATGTGATACTCTAAAATATGCTGCAATACTCATTACGGGATAACAAAGCTAAATCTGAGCAAATAAATGTATCTGCCAAACAGTCAGCAATAACTACACAACTAGAGTTTATAATCTTTAATTATTTAAGAAGGAAAGAAGCTTGTAATAATTAAGTTTTACAGGCTCCTTAAATTGACACTTCTAGATGCTCACAAAACTTTAAAAAAAAAAAAAAAAAAAAAAGTCTGTTCCTGCTGAAATCTCTGTTCTTTGCTTAACAACCAAATGAAGTTGTTCACTTAACTAACTAACAAAATCATTATTCCTTTATAAGCTTCCCATTCCAGCACAAGAAATGTTTTGTTTACTCTCTGGCCTGGACAATGCATAAGCCAACATGTAAGGCATTTACAGGCAGACAGTGACCAATGCAATACACTCTTTCAATAGTTTTGAAAATATTTTCCCTAAAATTATTAAGACATTGTAAATCATTTTGATTTACATCAGATACTTTACGAACTTTTAATTGAGAAGAGCAGCTCATTTAATTAACTAAAACACGTCAGTGAGGCAGTAACATGTTTAACATTTCTAGGAAATTTGTGCATCTTTGTCAAACGTTTATAACCAATCTGCCTTCTGGAATGAACAGAAGCATTCAAAACAGGTGCACAGAAGTTCTATGCTGAAGAATTGTAATAGACAGGAATGATGGGAGGAGATTCAACACCTCAGGAAGAAATAAAATACATTTATAGATTAAAAAATACATATCAGAATCAGTAAATCACATGTTAAATTGTGAAAGAAAAAAAACCATAAAAACGCAGAAGAACAAGAAGGCTTTAACTGAACTCCAGACGTGTTTTCAACATGCATCCAGCCACTGTCTCACTGAGTTCCCGTGAAAATGTTACCATAAAACTCTACGGAAATGGACTGATCACTTGTGAATGTTTCTGAAAAGTTCAATTCTAGCCACTGAAATGAGTGCAAGTTACTTAGTTCTGACCATGAAATAACATGCAACACTCCAAAATAAAAATAGAGGCATTTACCATTCATGTATAGTCATCTTCCCATAATGTTTCTAAACAGAGTTTTACCTATAACACAGGGCATTTTTTTCCTCAGAAAGCACGTTTGCTACACAGATGGTTTATTTAATCCATTCTCACCTAAATTAATAAAGCAATCTGCATCCCCGCCTCCCCTTCCCCCCCAACAAAATAATAGCCTTCATACTGGATTCTGCTGCCATTTGACAAATTGCATACACTTAGCTACATGAACTTGAACATTCTCCATAAAGAAGTTACCACTGCTAAAAATACGTGATATTATTGAAGATGTGTTACTTAGCATAACATGGAACTTAAACAGTAGCCCTCAGATACACTTTAAAATGCTTTTAGTAGCACCTGGCTGTTTATACATCTTCTGTGGTGAAAAGGTCAATAGAAATTCACCTCTAAGGTCACAGTTGCTAAGCAACTGTTTTCGGCAGTTCTGCATCACCAACCAAGTGTGTCAGGTTCTACCGCCTGGCTTCAGAATAAATCCGCGCAGCCTCCTACCTGGCCTGAGGAGCACACAGAGCTTCCCTGCTTCTCCCAGGACATGCAGGTGCCCATGGTCAAGGCACTGGTCAGAAGGATACGGCCCGGGACCACCGGCTTGCGGTTCACGAGAGCAAAGGAAAGCTCGGTCTTCAGGAAGACCACGGAGGGCTTGATGAGGTGCTGGCCAAACCGCAGCATGATAGACGTAATCCTCTGGGTCTGAAAGAGACAACAGTTGGGATGACTGGAGCACAAACTTTGCTTTTCTGGACAACGGGAATAAGACAGCCAGATTGTCAGAGTTCATCCTGAAAGAAAGCGTCTCCTGTGCTTATCGAGGTGCCTGCTCTGCAGAAAGTCTAATCCAGCCTTCTGAAATCTTAAAGGGTGGTGTGACTTCCTTCCAAAGCAAAAACTTTACATGGACACCTTAAACCCTTTTCTCTTCATCTTGGCTGAGCTGCTAAACTCTGGACAGGATGTAACTTCTTCCCATTGTCATTTGTTTGGTATTACATAAGTTTTGAGTCATACGTGCTTGGAAAAGGACAAATGATATTTCACATGCCCTTTGCACAACATAAGCCAACGCACACAAGAACTTAGAAAGTACAGAAACTACACCTTCTAAAACAGTGTCTCCTAAATGAATATCTAAATATCTCAACTGAAGAAATATCAGTGACTAAGGAAAAGATATTAGTCATATTCTGTCCAGGCTTTCCAGTTTGAACAAGTGAAATGTGAAGATCAATAGCTGCATGCAACATTTTCTCTTATACAGAAAGCCAAAGATTCCCATTTTCATTCACTAAAACTTTCTCTCCTTTTGGCGAGAATGGAAATCCTTCTTAAATAGCTAAGGTGCAACCTCCACAGTATCTATTTCAGGTCCTTAAGCCCTGGAGTATTTAAAGTATTTAATTCAATCAGAAATATCCAAAATGCTGCAGGTCAAAATACAAAGAAATGCAGAATTTTATGTGACACAATACTTCAGACACATCAAAAGCATTGCAGTAACACTACCTTGCTTGAACCAAATGACTAACCAGAAAATTCAGTTTTATACTTGTGTTCGATTGGAAAAGACACTATTAAGAGTCAAATGGGGTCCTTTGCTGCTGTTTTTTTCTTGCAAGCCTATTGTGCTTACTAGACCCAAAGTGCTGGATATCCTCAGTATGGATTCCATTTTCATGGCTCTTAATCTAAAATATTTATTCTTACTTAGTGTCCCATCCTTGTGTCTGCCCCAGCTAAAGGTACAGGTACTTAAGTAAGCTGCAAATGCACAAACTGTGAAAGTGAATTTGGAAAGTGAAATACGTTTGTCCTTTGGATGGAAATTCTGGCTTTTTCAACTGATTCCATGAAAGAACTTAACTAAATTAAATATAAGTTAGGGAGATGCTCTAGTCAGGCATTACATCACAAAATAAAACCTTGTACAAGATACAAAAAGTGATCATGTGGCTGTACATTCAAGCAATACATATTCTCTGAGGAAGCACGTCTATTTTTATTTTGAAAATCACAGTGCTCTAGGAGACCAAGGGCAAGTAGAAAGTGTAGTCATCCCCATTTCCAAAGACCTGAAAACATCCCAAAAATACATTTTTCCCATAAATTAATAGAAGAGTAAGAGTCTGAGAAGATGTTTTCTTTACTGGATATTAAACTCAGAACTTGCCAAGATACAAAATCAAGTCTCTTTAGATACCAGAAGAATCCCTTACCATAGGAAACACCTGCTATCCCATACTGATGTCTGAAAAAAGCAATTATCAGAGTCTGCAATCAATCTTCCTCTTTTCTCTTAAAGCAGCCCATCAGCAACCTCACCACGGAGGGTTTCTCATTTTGGTTAGAATATTTATATAAATACATAATAAAAGACATGGCTCTTAAGATTTTAACACGTTGAGCCAACATCCTGCATGAATACATCCAAGACATGCTAAAGTAAACATACACAGCTCTATTAGGCAAAGAGTTTTGCTCTTTTGCTGACAAATCTTTTCAATGCTTTCAGTAACAACAAAGAAATACTTTTTCACCAAATTTTGAAAGGATCCATACACAGGATTTGACTATAGAATTTAGATCAACAATACCATGTATTTGTTGTACACCTACCACATGCATTTTTAACTTCTTTCACTGCCTTCTTTGGATATATACATATATTTGCTTACTTTATAATACCATGTAATAATGTGTCTGTCTTTCTCTTGATTCAGACTAAGTAAATTCAGCATTTCAAACTTGTGCTGGTTGCACTATACAATACTGCAGACCTCTCAGCACTTTTCTCTCAAATTAGGAGATTACGAGAGTTTTTCCTTGAACAATTACTCATTATCTATTAGGCACACGTAAGCTGCTTTCTACCCTAGTTATCCTCTGCATTTTTTTCTGTAAAGTAAGATTGCCTCTAGTTGATATCAATACAGATATTAAAAAAAGCATTAGGGAAATGAGTAATGGGTGAAACGGAAAAACCCACAATTGTGCAGCAGTACACTGCAAAAAGGAGAGAATTTTCCAGAGTGCAGTGAGGCAGGAAAATGCTTCCAGCAGAGCAGCTTCTCAGTCATCTGAATCCTACCTGCTCATTGCCTGAATGACCTGCAAACAAGCAGAAATTGATGCAGCACAGGTGTAGGCATGCAGGTCACGAGATGCAAATAGTGTATGCACAGTGTTTCCCAGCTGATTGCAATCACCTCACTAAGTCTGCTCCTCCAAGGAATTCAATTCTTCTCATAATGAGGAGGTCATTGCCAGGTGGAACCAAAATCTAAATATAATTGGTAAAAGATGTTTCTTCTTTAATGATAGTAGTCTTTCTAATCCCAGTAATAAGGAGGACAATCAGGTAGTAATGTTAGAAAATGAAAGAAATCCATTTCTGATAAAAGAAAATTTCAGGCCAGTTTAACATAGTTTCTGTTCTGACTATTCAGATGAAAAGTGTATTTACTCTTCCTCATATTGCACATATACATTACACTGCCTATTTCATCTGCCTCATTTTCCTAATTAAATTTCCTTCAAGCTGTGTTCTTGCAGTTGTAGGTGGGAATACAGTACCAAAGGCTAATGTTGCAAGTAGACTAATTTTACAGCCACAGCAGATCTGAGATCTGCATAATCTCTACTAGAAAACAAAACAAACCACAGATTTATACTGGCACTGTACTTCACATCCAGAAAAGAGCGCTAAAATTAAGCAAAATGTTGAGATTCACTGCCATATATTCAAATGCTACTCATGCATTTATCATCATTCTGAGATCTAAACATATGCTCCAATTCTCCAAGTATGTTTGATTTCAGGGGTTGGGAGTTTTGTTTTGTGCTTTTCTAATCATAGAATGGTTTGAGTCAGAAAGGACCTTTAAGGATCACCTGCTTCTGATCCCCTTCACCATGGGCACTGACATCTTCACAGAATCGTAGGGGGTAGGAAGGGACCTCTAGAGATCATCGAGACCAACCCCCCTGCCAAAGCAGGTTCCCTGCACCGGTCGCACAGGTCGGTGTCCAGGCAAGACCTGAATATCTTCCACTAGATCAGGATGCTTTGTGTCCCATCCAACCTGAGCTAGAAATCATGGAGGCTGCAGAATCGATGTGAAATACACAAGATAGGTGAATACTTTTCACACGGCACCTCCGTAGTAAAGAACAATATCGTATCAAATGACTCTACTGCCCACAAGGGGTGATGGCACTCATTCTTCAGGCTGCCTTCCTGCCTTTACAGATGAGCCGGATGTTTAATAGAGGCAGTGGTGGTACTCCACAACAACCTTTTATTGTATTGTACAGTTACTTGCCCTTAGATAGGGGTTGAGATCACTGCCTGCTGGGAACCAGGCTTGATGCTTTCACTGAGCAATCACATGAACACTGTCCTAAGGAACAACAAATCTGGTTGTGAAGACAGAACACACAACAATGCAAAATGGGCTGTTTACTTCAAGTGCACATTTAGCAAAAAAGCCAATTATATTGCCACTGTTGCTGTTCTAATGTAAATTAATATTTCAGAAACAATCTGAGTATATTTTAAAGTTTGCCAGTATTAACGTCACCTTCTCATTAATTTTGATGCTCTGTATTCTGCTACTCAGTTTCACTGTAAAAACACAGCAAAAGGGCAAAATATTTTAAAAGCCTTATACAAATATCTACAAGATAACTTGCACCACACACTATTTAAGGGAAAAAAGTAATTCTTTAACAAATAATGCTTGAGATTAGCTTCAGATTTTTCTATGGCATTTTCTAAACTGTCCTTTATCTTCCACAATTACAGCAGTAAAGGCATATCTGACATTTTTCCAAAGTTTGATTGTGTGGAATGGGCTGTCTGTACTTACACACCTGAATTCTGCATTATATTGGATGAATGACAGACAACGAAGAATTGCTATCTCGTCTTGTAATGCTTTCCTGTTTTGTGAAGTCATTCCCTCCCCTTGCTGCCTCTTTGCGAGGATGCAATCCATGTAACTCAGAGTATTACTTGGCACTAGCAATGATTTTCTTATTTTAAGCAGTCAGAGTTTGCCATTTTGATCAAAGACTACTTTAAAATAGTAACAAAATGAAAGCATATTATTCTGAAATTAGTCTGTTTTTATACTGTCCCTTTGTCCCTGGAGTGGCTGCATCTCTCAACATCCTCTACTCCTACCCTTGTAGAAGATTTAACTATGTATTTTGAGCCAAAATATAGCATTCTGCTGCTATTTCTGTTCTGAAAAAACAAGAATTATTGTAAAATTAGCAAAGGGGTGACAGCCATAGCCTAATTTCTGTCAGTGAGGTTGGTACTTAAAGCTCTACACATAGCACTGAAAGAAGAAGCTTGAATGATTATTTTCCATTTTCACCACCCACAGAAGCTACCAAACAGAAAGCCCATTAAATGTGATGCATGCAGCCAGTCCTGGTGTTGACAAGTACTGATTTCTCACGTCATACGCAGATTATGATGGACCTGAATCCACTACATGTGGCTTCACCTGCTTAATCTAGCAGCAAAGAAAACATCAAAATTATTGCTTTTTAAATACATTGCCATTTTCTCAGCATGGTCAATCAAGCTAAATTATCTACATGTAAGATGAAAATAAACTGTGGTCTGTTGCATACTACCAAAGCACCATAATATATATGATGCTAAAGACCATCCATTTGCAATC